TATGACGTAGTAAATCAGAAATTCCGAGTTATGACGTAGTAAATAAGAATTTCCGAGTCGTGACGTCAGAACTATGAACTAAGAACTCCGAAGACAGATTGCACGACCGGGCTTCCGTAAAACCCTGATGCTTTACTCCTCACTTATTGCGATATAACTGAGAATGCGTTGATGCAGCATGCGGGTGAACAATTTCATGGTCGTGTCTAGAAGCCATATTCCTCGGTAGTTCGCCGGATCTAAGGTTTTCCCTTTTTTGAATATGGGATTGTGATGATGTGTCTCCATCTCGCTGGTGTATTTCGCCCAATATTTTGTTGAATAGTTCTGCCAGCTGTCCCGCCAGAGCTTCTCCTCCGCACTTCAACAATTTGTTAGGGACGTTGTCCGGGCCTGGAGATTTACCGTTTTTCAGGTGCTTCATTTCGGATATCACTTCCTCCACCGTGTATTGTTCTACATCCTTTATGGCTTCCTCTCGGTTCAAACTTCCCCGCTCCTTGGGCCTTTGTTGTTCCTGTTCGTCCCGGTTTGTGTTCAGGCCCTGAAAGTAGGTGGTCCATTCGGCTTTCGAGATGTAGTTTAATTGTACTGTCTCATTTATTTCTCTCCCTGTTGCTCTGAGCATTTTCCATATGAGTTTTTGGGTTCCATAAAAGTCACTTTCCATTTCTCTATTGAAGTTCTCTCAATGCTCTCTCTTCATTTCTCTTATGCGGTTGTTTACTCTGTTCCTTGTTTCGATGTGTTTGATGTGGTTTCTTGGAGTCTTGTTGGCTGTGTATGTTAGGTGGGCTTTTTTCTTTTCATGGGCCAGTATCTTCACCTCTGGTTTGAACCATGATTTATTATTTCTGTGTTTTGTCGTTGTGTTGACTGTTCTCTTGCCTAGTGCCTCCTCCGCTGCTTGGTTTATGTTGTTTAGTAAAATGTCCCATGCGCGGTCTACTGTGTGTTGTTGGAGGATGGGTTCCCTTTCAATTTTTTGGGATATGCGCCGTTTGTACAGATCCAGTGTGCTTTCTGTTTTTAATAACTCGATGTTGAACTTTGTTGTCGGGTTGTCCGGTTTCTTCCTATTAGCTTGCGGTCTTGCCATGGTGATTATTCCCATTACTAAGTTATGGTCTGATCCAATATTTGCCGATGTTACTGATCTAACATCCTGTATTTGCTCTGGTTTAATGGATCTATTTGTTATTATATAGTCTATTGTGGACGCTACCCCTCTATTGCCCTGAAACGTGACTTTGTGTTGGGGTTTGTGTTTAAAGTATGTGTTGTTAATCCTTAATTCCTGGTAAGCGTAAAATTCAACAAGCCTCTTACCTCGCTCGTTTGTCTCCTCATTAAATCTATTCTTGACTCCAGGTATTATCTCGTTCCCTACTCTTCCGTTCAAGTCGTCCATTATTATTATGCCTTCATGTTGGGGTATTGTTTCTATCAGCAGTTGGAGTTGTTCGTAGAAATCGATGGTCTCCTGGACCAGTTTTCCAGTATCCGGTGCGTAAACGGACACTATATGAAGAGTGTGTTTGTCTAGTTTCAGTTACTTTTATTATTCTGTCGTTTGTGTATTTGATGTCGGCTATGGAGTCCCTGCATTTTTGGGTGATCAGCATTCCAACTCTTGACGCTGCTCTTGTGTCTTTTGATTTGCCTGAGTAAGTCAGAATGTAGTCATCAATCATATTGTTCTGTTCCTTTTCCTCTCTTTTTTGTTTCAGATATGGCTATTTTATGGTGCTGTAGTTCTAGTATAATTTCTTGGTCCTTTCCACTGAATGATCTTACGTTCCAATCCTTATTTGCTTTTTGTGTTTGTTCCGTCTCATTTTCCTTGTCCTCGCTTGGGTCATCAACATTGAATCCGTCCTGTTCCGAGGTAATGCTTGGGGTCTGTGAGAATAGCCATTCTTTTATGGAGGGTAGGTTGCTAGCCTCGCTCTCCAACCCTCCTCCTTTATCCGGGCTTGGGACCGGCAGTGGCACCATCTGAGCTACTCAATCCACCCAGCGGAAAAAAATTTCAGGGCAAAAAATGCAAAAATCATTTTCAATGTTTTACAGGCCCAAAAACCTCAAAAGGAAAACATCACAAAAATTCTTTTCCTCTAAATTTGACCCCCTCTCCCGCTTGGTAAAGTCAAAAATTGAAAAATTTAGAAAAATCAAAATTGGAATTTTTCAGAGAGGGGTGCCTATGCAAGGAAATTTCATTTTTAAATATTTCACGGAGCCATATTTTGGAAACCAGAAAAGCTATCGGCACTAATAATTGTAGACCTCGATTGGGGCTTCAAAAAAGGTTATTTGGGGCACCGAGCTCAAGGTTTCCTTTCCGAGATAATGGGCTTTGAAGGTTTTCCAAAATTTGAGACTCAACATCAAGCTATTTCAGATGAATAATAAAAATTTTTTTCATCTCAAAGAGCCTTTAATTTTGATTAGGATATATAAATATATTTGTTATCGTATCATATTTTTATTTATTTTTTACGGATATGCGCACTCGCAAGGAAATGTCCTATCACGCTCGAGAAGCGGCAAGTGTGCGGAAATGTCGGTGTATGTTGGTTTTGAAACGGTTCAGGTTGTAACCTGCAGGGAAAACCGTCGCAGGGAGTTTATTCCACAGCGATGCTGTTCTCCAGAGATATGAATTCTGATATAATGAGGTTCTTGGTGCCTCTAGTTTGACAGTAAATTCATGGTTACCGTCTGTTTGACGGGTTCGCCTGGTAGGCGCTACTCTCGGTGGAATCATACGTGCCAACTCTTCAGAGCATTTTCCGTGATAGTACCTGTAGAAGAGAGATAAATCGCCCACAGATCTGCGATGTTCGAGACCATCCAAGTTACGAGTAAGTGCGGGGTCATTGATCAGCTTGATAGCTCGTTTTTGCACGGTGTTCAAAAGCAATAAGGTATGTTTGGGTGCTGCACTCCATATATGTGAGCAGTACTCCATAGTTGGTCGAATCTGGGCTTTGTAGAGTGTCAGCAATTGGCTTGGTGTGTACAGATGTCTTGTACGAAATAGCACCCCCAGCTTTTGGGACGCCCTTTTAGCAATATCTGCCACGTGATTGTGCCAAGACATGTTGGTCTCTGCAGTAACCCCCAAGATGTTCAACTGACTCTGTAATGTGACAGCACTTCCAGATAGCATGATGTTTGGCTCACCGGTGCTGTTCTTTTTTGAAAACAGAGCTGCTTGGGTTTTCTGTGCGTTGAACTGTACAAGGTTTTTGTTACCCCAGTCCTCTATTATCTCCAGGTCGTTATTTATCTGCGATATTTGAGTTAGTCTAAGATGATGGAATTCACGTGCGAAAAGACCTGTGGGTGGTATGAGTGAGGAGACTACATTGCCATCGTCTGCAAAGCAATAAAGTGGATTTACTGTTTTATCTATGAGGTAAATCATATTAAATAGTTTGATGCTCAAAGCTTATCAGAAAACATCTTAGACTTATTCTGTACTAAAATTCAGACTGATCTCTGAGCAATTTCGTTCAGGTCTTTTAATTATAGAACCTTTACTCTAAAGTGTTCTGATTTCCGATTAATCTCTGTCCAATTTATTGGCCTCCACTTCTTCCTCATCTTTTCGGTAGGTAAACTTTTAAGTTGCACAACGCAAAAATAGCTGATTTACGGTTCAGAACCATTAATCATTTCTCAAACAATCCAATCGGGTAGATCAATCACAAATTGAAAATTCCATTTTAGTTTTCAGCATAAATTAACCCTGAACTAAGACAGAAAAAATTCAAACTATTTGACACAGAAAAATAAAAATAATCACTTGGACGTCCTCAGTACATTTTTTTACCATAAATAAGCAGTCCAATCTAAGTACATTACTATAATCGTATAAAGTATGAATAAATTAAAATAAGTACTTTTTCTATAAAAATAATAGTAGAAAAAGTTAATAATACTATAAGCAAACAATGTAGTTGATTTCAACTAGGTTCAGGTCGCATATTGCACAAGGTTGAGGGCAAAAAAAGTAGATGTGTTTTATTGAATTTAAATTGAAATTAGGAATTTACAAAAAAAGCTCATTTGAGTAGAAGAATTATTTTTGTCTTTGATAATAGTTGCCGCTGATAAATAATTGAAAAGACATTAAAAAAATCCAAGAAATTCTCGGTAAAATTAATGATCATTTATTATTAGCCACCTGAGATATCTTTGCAATCTTCATTATGAACAGGGCGACCTTGCATTCTTAAAACTAACTACTGATTTTTTTAATAATTTTAATTGCCATTTTTTTTTTTCTTGTACCTAGAGCTACATTCACACACTTCTTTGCAGAAAATTATCAAATATTCAAATACAAGAAAAACCTTCGGACTGATTTCTAATTTAAAACAATAATTCAGGGTCGATGAATTGATAATTTTTTTGCATGAATTTTTAATTATTTGCAATAATTATTAAGAAAATTTAAATTTCAAATGAGGAAGAAGTTGAATAGGATTCAAGAATGAAACGACCTTGACTCTGAATTATTATCCAATAATAATAATTTTGCATAACGGCCTAAACCTAAGACAATTTTGAACATTTGTTTCCTTGTCACATTAGTTTTGTTATGTTATTAATAATTAACAATTATCCTTCTGAATGAGGTAAAAAATCTGATTATCAGGGTCACCACTATACTATGTAATGTATACCTTCTTTTTTTAGAATACCGATTACGCAAACGAAAGATTGATATGTTCAATAGTAGGTAATTGCTCATTATTTCTTAATTGAATAAATAATTTGTGCTTATAAGACAATAATGTCTTCAAATATCAATTTATTCTACAATATTCTTTGACATTCCCCCGGATACAAAAAGTAATTGTAGGTCTCCCAATGCCACTAACGCAAGTTTAAGGTTTTCAGGACTGTTATTATTATTACTCATTTGGCAATGACCAAAACCGATAATTAAATCATTCGGTTGTAATTATGTTTAATGTTCATTTCAGAGTGGCTATAGGGATCCCTATGGACGGAGAAGTGCTCAACAGATGCTCCATGTACGACGTAAACTACACAGAAATCTTACAAAACGGCATCAAAATTGCTGACCCCTCATGGAAGACTGTTAAATGTAAGAATGGCTGGGAATATAATACCACGGAAATACCTTATTCAACAATTGCTACAGAAGTAAGTATAGGTACCTATCAAAAACTTAATCTCTACCAAATAAGTCTTGAATTTTTATGCATAATTTAATCCTGAAATTGTACAATCATGTAGAGATCATTTGGTAATTATAGGATATCATGATATAGGTAACAACTTCCCTATTAAGTAAAAGATGGTGTTCTGCAACAATTTTTATAGAAATCAATTGGACTATTTCGTTTTTCTAAGAATGCGTTTTCTAGAGCGTATGCTAATTTGAAGACGTTAATGAGACAATAATCCGGAACACAGTAACCCATTTTATCATGAGAGATCGCATGGCCAAAGTAGTTAAATAGGTACGTTGTAGCATATTCTGACAAAAATATGCTCATACAAATAGAGGCTGAACAATCAATCAATATAAATATAATTCAGGTATATGCACCTACTGCTGACAAACTATACGCTGGAGCTTATATCTTCTAACAGATCAGACCATAATTCCCTGATTGGCAATATGCCAATATCCAATTTCGTTGCAAATTGATAGAAAAGAACTCTGTGAAAAAGAGACAGATATTCGCAGTTTGCTAAGTTCAGAGAAACAAGAGGAAAGAAATGAGTGGAAAAACACAATTCGGATTTAGAACCAGAGAAGCATGGTTCTGCTTGAAACTTCTAGTTCAAAAATGCTATGATCAACGTCAAAATGTCTATGTCTGCTTTATTGACTACGGATGCGCATTTAACAATGTATAGTATAATCCACTGATAGAAAGGTATTTGAAAGTTCCTGAAAAAATTTTTTAGCCATCCCAGCAATTTGAAACTTTCAAGATTTATCAATTAGAGTTGACTCATGATACAAAACAAATTGGAAGTTGATATGAAACTTACAACTAAAGTTGCAAATTTTGTTACTCATCGATACCTGAGAAAATCATAAAATTCCTATAAAATCGTCTTTGAAGGTTCCTGAAAAATAGTTTGAGCGATCTCAGCAATTTGAAACTTTCAGGATTTATTTATTAGAGTTTTCTCATGATACAAAACAAATTGGAAGTTTATATGAAAGTCACAACCGAAGTTGCGAATATTTTCACTCATTAATATCAGAGAAATTCATGAAATTCCTGTAAAATCGCCTTCAAAAGTTCTTGAAAAATACTTTGATCCATCCCACCATTTTGACACTTTCAGCATTTATTAATTAGAGTTTTCTCATGATACAAAACAAATTGGAAGTTTATATGAAACTCACAACCAAAGTTGCGAATTTTTTTACTTATTAATACCTGAGAAAATCATAAAATTCCTGTTAAATCGTCTTCGAAGGTTCCTGAAAAATACTTTGATCCATCCTACCATTTTGACACTTTCAGGATTTATTAATTAGAGTTTTCTCATGATACAAAACAAATTGGAAGTTGATATGAAACTCACAACCGAAGTTGCGAATATTTTCACTCATTAATATCAGAGAAATTCATGAAATTCCTGTAAAATCGTCTTCGAAGGTTCCTGAAAAATACTTTGATCCATCCCACCATTTTGACAATTTCAGGATTTATTAATTAGAGTTTTCTCATGATACAAAACAAATTGGAAGTTTATATGAAACTCACAACCAAAGTTGCGATTTTTTTTACTCATTAATACCTGAGAAAATCATAAAATTCCTGTTAAATCGTCTTTGAAGGTTCCTGAAAAATACTTTGAGCCCGCTCATCAACTTGAAAATGAAAATTTATTAATTAGAATTTTCTCATGATACAAAACAAATTGGAAGTTGATATGAAACTCACAACCGAAGTTGCGAATATTTTCACTCATTAATATCAGAGAAATTCATGAAATTCCTGTAAAATCGTCTTTGAAGGTTCCTGAAAAATACTTTGAGCCCGCTCATCAACTTGAAACTTTGAAAATTTATTAATTAGAGTTTTCTCATGATACAAAACAAATTGGAAGTTGATATGAAACTCACAACCGAAGTTGCGAATATTTTCACTCATTAATATCAGAGAAATTCATGAAATTCCTGTAAAATCGTCTTTGAAGGTTCCTGAAAAATACTTTGATCCATCCCACCATTTAGACACTTTCAGGATTTATTAATTAGAGTTTTCTCATGATACAAAACAAATTGGAAGTTGATATGAAACTCACAACTAAAGTTGCGAATTTTTTTACTTATTAATACCTGAGAAAATCATAAAATTCTGTTAAATCGTCTTTGAAGGTTCCTGAAAAATATTTTAAGCGATCTCAGCAACTTGGAACTTTCAGGATTGAATAATTAGAGTTTTCTCACTATACCAAACAAATTGGAAGCTGATATGAAACCCACAACTGAAGTTGCGAATTTTTTTACTCATTGATACCGATACCTACCTAACAAAATCATAAAACTCTTGTAAAATCGTCTTTGAAGGTTCCTGAAAAATACTTTGAGCCCGCTCAGCAACTTGAAACTTTCAAAATTAATTAATTAGAGTTTTCTCATGATACAAAACAAATTGGAAGTTGATATGAAACTCACAACTAAAGTTGCGAATTTTTTTACTTATTAATACCTGAGAAAATCATAAAATTCTGTTAAATCGTCTTTGAAGGTTCCTGAAAAATATTTTAAGCGATCTCAGCAACTTGGAACTTTCAGGATTGAATAATTAGAGTTTTCTCACTATACCAAACAAATTGGAAGCTGATATGAAACCCACAACTGAAGTTGCGAATTTTTTTACTCATTGATACCGATACCTACCTAACAAATTCATAAAACTCTTGTAAAATCGTCTTTGAAGGTTCCTGAAAAATACTTTGAGCCCGCTCAGCAACTTGAAACTTTCAAAATTTATTAATTAGAGTTTTCTCATGATACAAAACAAATTGGAAGTTGATATGAAACTCACAACCGAAGTTGCGAATATTTTCACTCATTAATATCAGAGAAATTCATTAAATTCCTGTAAACTCGTCTTCGAAACTTCGAAGGTTCCTGAAAAATACTTTGATCCATCCCACCATTTTGACACTTTCAGGATTTATTAATTAGAGTTTTCTCATGATACAAAACAAATTGGAAGATGATATAAAACTCACAACTTAAATTGCGATTTTTTTTACTTATTGATATCTGAGAAAATCATAAAATTCCTGTTAAATCGTCTTTGAAGGTTCCTGAAAAATACTTTGAGTCATCCCAGCAACTTGAAACTTTCAGGATTGAATAATTAGAGTTTTCTCACTATACCAAACAAATTGGAAGCTGATATGATACTCACAACCAAAGTTGCGAGTTTTTTTACTCATTAATACCTGAGAAAATCATAAAATCCCTTAAAAATCGTCTTTGAAGATTCCTGAAAAATATTTTGAGCCATCCCAGCAACTTGAAACTTCCAAGATGTATTAATTAAAATTTTCTCATTACACAAAACAAATTGGAAGTTGATATGAAACTCACAACTAAAGTTGCGAATTTTATTACTTATTCATACTTGAGAAAATCACAAAATTCCTGTAAAATCATCTTTGAAGGTTCCTGAAAAATAATTTGAGCCATTCCAGCAATTTCAAACTTTGAGGATTTATTACTTAGAGTTTAGAAATAGGTATCGACAACAAGTACGTAAGACTCATACTGGAGTTAACGGTAAAAGTTAGAATACAAGATTATCTATTGACCAAACCATTTGAAGCTTTGAAAGGAGTTCGCCAGGGATGTATTTTGTCGCCATTACTGTTCAACATTTACGTGAAAAAAGTATTTCAGCTGATGATACAGTGATTATAGCTAATACTGTGGAGGATCTACAATATTTACTCGATAAAATCATCATTATGATCTGCAAAGATATTAACAGGAAAGACAAAAGTTATGAGTATTGGTAGACAGACTGCAGAGCCAAACATTTTGGTAGTTCAAATATCTAAGATCTGTCATAATTGATAAGTGGGACTGTGACGAAGAAGTTAAAACACGAATTGATATGGCCACAACAACATTCTGGAAACTTAAGACAATGTTGCTGCATAGAGATCTATCATTGGATTTGCGATTTAGAGTGATTAGTGTTTACCTCTTATTACTGTAAGGTGCCGATCATTATTTCCTTATTTGAATTTATTCATGCTAGAATCTGTTCTTTCCTTCCATAAAATTTATGTTTTACCCGCTATTAATTGCAGCATACACACCAATGATCACAATATTTTCGCCATCTCTAGGGTGATAATTTCTTCCTCAACTTATTTCCAGCTTTTTATATTGTTTTTGTATCTTTTATATAGCGCAATTGTCAATCCTGAAATATTATTATTAGTTCAACCGAAGATTGAATTGGAGTCGACGAATGTCATGAAAATGTGAGGCCGCATCTATCAAAAAGTGCTGAAAACATGTGTCGGTCATAAATAATGTTTTCTATGTGAATCTATCTCTTAGTTCACACAGTTAAATTACCTACTTTAGCCTTGCGTTTATTGTCTTTCCGGTGCTAAATTTATGGATTCTTCTTCGAATTCAAGAAACTCGTGTTGCTCCCTGGTTGCAATTAATTCCTTAGGACATTTGATTCAAAAAATATATTACCAACTATAGAAATCCTAGCCAACTTTTAAAAAATCGCTAACCATATCACACTTTCAATTCCAGCTCAATTGGGTTTGTGATAACGCAGCTCTGCCCAGCACAGCTCAATCCATCTTCTTTTGCGGTGCCATCCTGGGCGGTTTAGTCTTCGGTTGGATCGCCGACAGATGGGGTAGAATACCGGCTTTAGTAGGCACCAACTTAGTAGGCTTTATAGGAGGCATGGCCACCACGATGTGCGCCTCTTTCTGGACATTCGCCGCTTGCAGATTCTTGGTGGGCATGGCTTTCGATAATTGTTTCACCATGATGTATATTTTAGGTAAAAACTAATAATTATAATAAATCATTGAACCTCAAGCTACTTATACTTTTAGTATTGGAATATGTTGGACCAAAATGGCGTACGTTCGTTGCCAACATGTCCATTGCCATATTTTTTACTTTTGCCGCTTCCATATTGCCATGGATCTCTTTGTGGTTGGGCAATTGGAAGATGCTCTGTTATGTTACCAGCGCTCCATTGGCTTTGGCCATTTTGACACCTTGGATTGTACCTGAATCGGCTAGGTGGCTAGTATCCAAAGGGAAATTTGACAAAAGTTTGGGCATTCTAAAGAAATTTGCAACATTTAACAGAAAAACTGTTGAACCAAAGGTTTTTGATCAATTTAGGGTGAGTTGTAAAATTTTAATAAAACCTTTAAATCAAAGGCGAAATATTTTAGGAAAGCTGCATTAAAATCCAACAAGAAGAAGAAAGCGGCAAAAACTATACAGTTTTGGATCTCTTCAAAACACCTCGTCTTAGAAGAATCACCATTATTCTTATTCTCTTATGGATGGCCATCTCATTGGTGTTTGACGGTCATGTGAGAAACGTTGGTACATTGGGATTGGATATTTTTCTAACATTCACTATAGCCAGTGCCACAGAATTCCCTGCAGACACTTTCTTGACTATGGTACTGGATGTTTGGGGTAGAAGATGGCTTGCTTGCGGTTCCATGGTTGTCAGCGGAATTTTCAGTTTATTGGCTACAGTGGTGCCTTTAGGTATTCCTTCAGCCACTTTAGCTATAATGGGCAGATTCGCTATAAATATTTCTTATAATATTGGTCTACAGTATGCTGCTGAATTGTTACCCACAGTAGTGAGAGCTCAAGGCGTTGCTCTTATACACATTATGGGTTATGTGGCTAGTATTGTCGCACCATTTGTAGTATATTTGGTAAGCAATAATGTCTTATTGATTTATATTTTTTATATTTCCTATTTTTAAACTTAGGCTAATATTGATTTGTCTCTTCCACTATTAATTTTGGGAATCTTGGGCATTGCTGGTGGAATTTTGGCACTATTCCTTCCTGAGACTTTGGATCAAGAGCTGCCACAAACTTTACAAGATGGTGAAAATTTCGGCATTGATCAGAAAATGTGGGATTTCCCTTGCATTAAAAAGTAAGTCCATAGAAATGCTTTGGAATTAGAATAATACATCATTTTCCTTTGCAGGCCTGAACCAGAAAAACCTTCTAACTTCCAACGGTCGCACTCCACAAGATCATCAATAAGGGCTTCAACTAGAGGGGAAATAAGATCGAGCATGATCAATAGGGGATCGATAAGGTCGAGAAAATCAACTAGTTTTCCTGAAAACCAAGTGGTTTAACTAAAATCTTTTTTTTCTCCTATTGAGACAACTTGTTGTCGTGTCCTTCGAAAGCTGTGATTTTAATTGGTGCGTTCCATTTTTAGGTTGTAAGGATTGTTTGTAAAAATTACATTCGATAAGATGAGTATTATTTATTTTAGACTTGTTAATATCCTTTTAGTTTTATTTTATTTATGTGTTATTTTGGAACGTTTTTGTGTGCGTTTTATGTTGTGAATGGATTATGAAGCATTTGAGCATCAGCAAAGATAATAAATGTATTATAATAAGTAGTTGTGCGTTTTATTAATTTGTAACAATGAAAATGACACAGTCAGGGTACCAAAATTGCACACGCACAATTTAAATTGTTGATTACATATTGAAAAAAAAAATGTTATCAAGGTTTTGCTATTGTTACAAATGAAATTGGTTTTGTTTCAAGATCTCTAAATCAATATTAGGTTTAATTTTAAATTGCATCATTAGTATACAGGGTGGTGCCAAATTGACGCATAAGATTTCCACTACGTCATAGGAGGCCCTTCAAGGAACCCCAGAAAAATAGTTAAAATAAAATAAAGTTACTCTTAACAAAGTTATTAGAAGAAGACGGAGTGGTAAAATTGGCAACATCTTAAATACTTTCACCTAAAGTCTGTTTTTTTTTTAAAGATAAAAGTCAAAATGATATTATGTTGGCAATACAATGTAAAATTGTCAATGCTTTCACATTTTCTATGTAGAAAAGGCTTGTGTTGCCAACAATAGACTTTATATTGGATTACACCTCTGTTCTAATAATGTTGTAGCTGTCCTAATTTTATCACCTTAACCGGTACTACCTACCTATACTGTATTTTTTCCCAAGATAGATTGGCATCTCTGATTTTGACACTGTCAACGTTGGAACCTAATCAATGCCGCTTATTGGTCACAAGATGCCATTTGCACGACATGCATTGTAAAACTCAATGACATGGGTAAAACTGATTCCAACCTGCAGGGATACGGCATTTTGCGACCAATCAGGGCCAACGCGTTATTGTTTATGTTTCAAAGTTTTCAATGTCAAAATCCATCTTGGAAAAAAATAGACTTTAATTAAGTAATATGTTTATTTTCAAACGTCATACAACAGTAATTTTTGTGATCATTTTGACAAGGTATAAGAGCATAGAAAAAGAACGCTCACTTCTGTTGTTGTTGCCAAGTGACATTTCCGACAGTGCTGCCATAGCGGTGTAGTCATTGAACTAATATTTGGCGGGCTGAATCTCAGTTTTAAATGACTGGTTTGACATTTCAATTTTTTCAAAATAAGCCAGTGCTCCGAAACTTCATAAACTAAAATAACAAATAGCTATCATTTTATTCAAAATGCTTGCGTTTTGCTGCGTTACGGTTGCGTTACAGTTAGGTTACAGAATCTATAAATCGAGCTTTACTCATAGAAATAGCACCTAAATTGTCCTGCTCATTTTTACTATACACCAGTTCTGTTTCAATGATGTTTTTGAGATTGCGTAACACTCGTTTTCCAGCGTCCATAAAGCTTGATTCGAGCTATCCATGTACCTGCTAAGATACGAAACTGAATACCTACATGATATCTGATCTTGAAGTGCATGCTAGGTACATCAATGATCCAACCAGTCTTCTGCAAGGAACAGTTAGAATCTCATTAGATTTGTCCACTTGAAATCCAGTGACCATTGGAGTTGTAACACCTTTAAAATCAGCCATGTTGAATTCTTTGCGAATCTTTTGTGTGTAGCTTTTCTGTGTTATTGTTACTTTCTGAGATGTTCCATTTATTTCCATCCCTAAGAACTTCTCAACTTCACCCAGAAATTTAGCATTCAGTTTCTCCTTCAGTATATTAACGAGAGTTTGTAAAATCTGTCATGATTTGATTGAATTTGGTGTTCCAACATCTTGGGCTTTCCTTAAGACCATACAGTGCTTTATTTAATTTCAACACTTTGTATCTGTCCTGTCAACATTTAGCCCCTCGGATACTTTGATATAAACATCAGACTTAACATTGCCATTTAGGAAGGCTGTTGGAATGTCCAACGGACATATATTCCAATTCCAATTCATTTATGGGAAACGCCCTTATGGTCGACAACCTTGCAATTGAAGCATACATAGTGCGAAAAGGATTCTCCTCCTTAATCTGGAACCCCTTTTTAGCTACTAACCGTGCCTTCTTCGAACAATCTTCTTTGATTCTAAAAATCCATCTGGAATCATATATCTCATAATCTTCCAAGTGTTGTGATTTATTTACCTGCCTTCCAACTCTTGTAATATTATTGGTTCTTATGACATTCTTGTATTTTTGCTGTTTGATCATGTAAATCATCAGATTCATCGGCTTATACTGAATTGTTCAGAACTATTCTCACTTTCCGAGTGTCACTTTCATAAAAACCAACTTGATTCAATCCTTCATTTTGTATAGGCCATCTTCTTTTTCTGCAGGTTTTGTCTCGGGTGCTATACCCTGATTATTTCCGCATGTTTATTCTTGTTCTGAAAAAACACCACATCTCTGCTGTGCGTTATGTTTTTTGTCTTTGAGTCTATTACCCTAAAACCATTCGTATTTTTGCCGTATCCAATAAATAATAAAATATTCTTAGATGTGATAAGTCTGGCTTTTTCTTGAACCATGCTTCATAAGGTATTTCATTTTTAACTGCTTCAGTTGAAGATCTATTAGTGATATAAATAGCAGTATTTAATGCCTCTGCCCAATTGTCTTTAGACAAGCAAGCATCTGATAATATACTGCAAGCTTTTCCTACAATTTTCACAATTGTCCTGTTTGATCGCTCACTCACCCCATTTTGTTGTGGGAGTTTACCTGACTGATGTCTGATGGACTATACCAGCTTTTTTAAGTACATTTCTTATATGATGATTTTTTTGTTGTTGAAAAACTCTTTATTTTCAATAAACATATTACAAAATCTACCATTTTAAAGTCTCTTAAACAGTGCTAGAAGCTCTGGCCTCGAGAACAATTTAATACTATCGAACACTATTACAAATAGCGATGCTACCGCTACAAAAATACTCCCCAAAAACATCACCAAGCATCAAGAAACTTTTTCAATTCACGCAGAAATCTATTACAATTCTGAATTGATCCTATATTTCCAGGTATACCGTTATAAGTACTTGATGCGAAATGAATTGGACTCTACAGCTCTTTATTAGTCCTACTACAGGGTAAATACAAGTAGTTATGGTGAGCTCTTGTGTCAACGATCGTATATTACATTTTTGGTTCAGGTTAATTATTTTGTACATTAATTTACATTTTTCAGGTTGCAAAACCCACCCAACAGGTATACGGTCTCTGTGCTAGCAAGAAAGTCATACTGAAATAGAATTTTTAAAACTTTATTTTGCATTATTTGTAGTTCCTCAAATGTTGTTTTAGCACACGTACCCCATACAGGCAGGAGGTATCCAAGGTGTGCCAAGAAATATGTATCAGGGTGTCAATTTGAAAACTTTCCACCCCTATTATCTCGGAGTAGAACAATTTTCGAAAAAATACCTGAAACACGTCAACTATAATTTGAAGGGGGATGAGTTTTTATGCAAAATTCACCTTCCCTCTTTCAAACCCCCAGCCCCCAGAGCCACCCCCTAGAAAATTTTAAATGGGAAGGGGGGTCAAGTGATACATCATTTCGGAGGGTTTTTAATTCCATACATTTTGGTATAAAATGTTAATTTCTAAGTTTAACTGTTTTGGAAATATTGACACTTGAAAATTGACTTTTCTGCGATTGACAAGAAATGTCAGCATTTTTGACCGGTTTACAGGTCGCAAAACTCAATATTCTGGTATTTTAATTATATTCCAATAGTTGCTAAGGAACCAATGAATAACAATACGGGAAACACTTTTCTGGCCTAGGCCGGGAAAGTGATTCTCGTACTGCTGAATAATTGGAACCAAAAGACAAACATTTAACAGGTATTTAACCGATCGCAGAAAAAATAGTATGTGTATTTCGGTGGAAAAGTGACACTTTCTCGGCCGACGGTGTAAGTTGACGGGCGAGGCGTAGCCGAGGCCGGCAAACACCTAAATACACAATATACTATTCTTGCAACTTTGACAGACTGTGAAACCTAAACGGTTAATTTTAGAGGAAAACCGATCTTACATTCTTGCCTTAGATTTTTATAAGCTGTCATTTGACAACAACAACAATCCATGATCAAAAATTCCGGTTAAAAATTTAATCTCCGGTTAAATTCAAAAATGGTGTCAAATGATAGTTTATGAAAATCTAAGATAAAAATGTAAGGTCGGTTTTCCTCTAAAATTAACCGTTTAGGTTTTACAGCCTGTCAAAATAGCAAAAAAGTAAGTTTTCGACTATCAATATTTCCAAAACAGTTGAACTTAGGGACTAAAATTTGGTACCAAGATCTATGGAATTGAAAACCCTGCCAAATGATTTATTACTTGACCCCCCTTCCCATTTAAAATTTTCTAGGGGGTGGCTCTGGGGGCTGGGGGGTTGAAAGAGGGAAGGTGAATTTTGCATAAAAACTCATCCCCTTTCAAATTATAGTTGACGTGTCCCAGGGGTTTTTTAGAAAATTTTTCTACTCCGAGATAATAGAAGTAGAAAGTTTTCAAATTGACACCCCGTATATGTTTTCAACAGAGGCCCTAGCACGGACCCCTGTGGCACGCCATAATTATTTGGGGCAAATCATTGCATCCACCTTTACATATTGGCTTCTACCTTGAAGGTATGTTCCAATTATATTAATTAATGTTCCCTTAATACCCATCTTGTCCAGCATTTTCAAGAGAATAGCAATAGTGACAACATCAAACGCTTTTCTCAGATCTATAAATATTGTAACAACAATTTTCCCTTTATCCAGTTCCCCTGAAAACAAATTTATAAAATCAAATGTAGCTGCAAGTGTACCGGGTGTCCAAATAAGAAAGGTCACCGGCTATATCTCAGGAAATATTAGTCCTAGAGCTTTCAAATAATTTTTTTTTTCATAAAATAGGCCATGAAAAATTGCTGGAAATAGTTTTCAAGTTTATAAGTTGACCGCTAGGGGGCGTAACGAACACTCGAAAACATAAAACTGTCATTATCTTCAAAAAACGCCTACTTAAGGTATCCTAAAAATATGATTATTGAAATCTTGATGAAATTACAAAAAAAAATTTGTTCAGGATTTTTTTCCCTAACTCTTCAAATAAGAGGTGGGGGAAGGTTCAAACTTGTTA